TCTGCATGATTGAATAGACTTGGTGGAAACTATACTAGCAAGGATGTTAAATAACCTTCTCAAATGATATTGGCTGTTTGGGTTTTTAAGGGCCTTTGTGTATCCTACAGCCTTTGTGCGCAAATTTCTCATACACAAAAATTTCTATCTTTGATCCAATGCAATCAGAATGCAATTTTAAACAAAGTGAATGAATGGAAAAGGTTCTTTAATGCAAGTGAGACTTTCAGTGAATATTGTTTTCCCAGGGAAAATAGTGGGATGTTTATATTTTTTTATTAGGACTCATTTTTTGCTAATCTAACACAGGAAGCCAGTTACATGATTGTATTTTTAGAGCCAAAAGGGTGCATACAGGGGAGGTTTCAGGGTTATAAGCATCCCAGTCAATTCAATAAATGTAGTACCATTTCATTTATTTGGTAATTGCCCAAAAAGCCTTTGGTTTGCACTTTCTTAGAAGTATTTTGCATACAAAAGTCAAGAAATTGTTATCCTGCCTCGAGCMAGGCATTCCTAGCCGCTGCGAGAGAGTTTGGGCTGGGAGAAACCCTGTGTTCAAAAGCTGAGTGCAGTTGTCTGAGTTTCTTTGACCCAAACTCTCTTGGAGCGGCTAGGAATGCCTGGCTATGCASGCTATGAAATTGCTTATTAAATTTCTAATAAACAAGAGAGATTAGGGGGCTTTTCTTCATAGACAAACGCTATTACAACCAAATACTTGCAATCAACTAAGTTGAAATGGTGYCTATCAGTAAGTGTGGATATAATACCCGATAAAACATGCACTCGAGTTTTTTGAGCATGTGCGTTGTGCCACAATTGAAAGAATTTTGATCCCACATGGTAGAACGACTAGTCTGTGCTAGACTACTGATGTCTGCACATTGATTCAAAATGATTTAAAACCTAGCAAAGGTCTATGATGYGACATTAAAACTGAGAACTTTGCTAGACTGTGTTGAGTTGCAATACYTCTTTATATCTGCTGATTAATAAAAGATCAGACAAGTTCTATATAATATCTAATATAGAACTGATCAAGAAAACATCAGTGCTCTATCGAGATATAAAGGCCCATCATGTGACCCAATTGTTCAATGCTCATTGGACTAATAGCTCATGAATTATTAATGAGTTCTAGAAATATATATAACAATAATTGTGGTGTTGTTTTCAGCCAAGAAGCTCTGCAGGGTTCAGAGGTACTGTACGATATGCATCCGTCAATGCTCATGATAACAAGGTAATTACATACATGCACATGTATATAATAAATAAAATATTGACTCGGCAAATAATGTCTTGTAATAATAACCCTCAAAGCAAGGGAGAGAACAGAAACAAACTCAAGCCACATATGATCCCAAGTCAGAATAGAACCTAGGACCACAGCGCTCCCACCA